GGCAACTGACAGATGGGTGGTGTGGTTCTGTGACCAAAAAATGAACTTGGGCCGCTAAAGCAGTGACAACACCAAACTTTACCTCTAGGCCTCTCATTTTTGTTTCTTATTGATATTCTCTATTTGGTGAGACATTGCTGCCATATTTTCCTTTAATTCTTCAGACATGGCTTCCTTTAGTTCTTTGAATACATCTATTTTAGTTTTTTAAACATATTTACTTCTTTGAATATATATTTATTGAAAATATATATATATATAAAATCAGCTATTTGTTTAAAATATGGAACATGTGGACTTGCTCTGGAAGAGTTTCTATTAACTGCTTTTTTTCTGTGTGGGGCCATATTTTCCTGTTTGTTTGTGGATCTTCTAAATTTTTGTTGAAACCAGGCATTTTAAATACTACAATGTAGCATCTCTGGAAATCAGGCTCTCCCATGCCCTCCTCCCACCCCCTCAGGTTTGTTGTTGCTGCTATTGTTTGAGAGCTTAGTGGACTAAGTGCTGCTGTTTGTTTCCCAGACTAATTCTTTAAATTCTATAATCCTTTTCATGTGCAGCCACTAAAATCTCTACTCAGTTTAGTGGTTAGCTAATGATTAGACAGAGATTTCTTTAGATGCCTTGAAGCCATTAGTCTCTCATCCTTTGCCAAGGGCTCTGGATGTGTTGGAACACATCGCCAATTCACTGACAGTTTATAACCCTGCCTTAACCCTCACTTCCTGCGTGCAGAGCTTCAACGTCAGCCAGAGGTGAGAGATTAGGGCCTTCTCAGGTGTTTCTTGTGTATATGCACATCTCTACACACGTACATGGACTCCTAGATCCACAGAAATGTTTTGAAGCTTTATAAAGCTCCCTGTGGACAACTCTTTCCTCAAATTTTCCTTTTAAGTTTTTTGGTCAGCTTCTTGTCCCAAGTGGTATCACTGTCTCAAGTAACTTGATGTTAAACAATTGCAGTTGATTGTTTCCGACAAACATCCTAAGGATAGGGCTTTCCTCACTGAGTGAACTTTGAGTCAGGCAAATAAAGATAAAGTCCCCATGAATGGGACTCTTCCAGGGAGCTGCCAGACAAGTCAAATAATGACAATTCTCTACTGATGGGGTTGGGGCTTCCTGGGGCACCCCAAACCCATTCTGCCTCCTCCAGTGGCTGCTAGGCTGCTGGTTTTCATAGGTACTATAATTCCAAGGCTGCTGGTTTTCAGGACTACCGCAGAGCTGGGGAGAGTGAATGGCAACAGGGCAAGTTAAAATACCACAAGGCTTACTGTTCTTGCCAAGATGCCTTCTTGATTAGACACTCCTCTAATTGTTACAAGATTTTTGTTAATTTCCAGAGTTCTGAAAAACTGATTACGGCAATTTTTTCCAGGGCACTGGTTGCTTTTACAGGAGGAGTTGACTGATTTTACTCTGCTATTCCAAAATGCTTCCTCCCTTATAAGGATTTGAAGGTCCTGCCTTGCAGATCCTCTGATAAAAAATAGAGCTTTCTAAAATCTTAAAGGCATTGTTGCACAGCAGCCTCACTGGGAGCCCAAGGCAGAGAAGGCCTCATCTCAAAGATCATTGTGGATGTGGCTTTTGATTAATGGAGTAGATTATAAATTGATACATAAAAAGCCTACAAAGTTTTTAAAGAGTTAAGCCAGTTGAGATTGAGGGGGACAGACACTACAAAATGAAGAGGGCTTTGGACCCCCAAACTTTTACAAGCAGAAGATAAACTTGGAAAATCACTCAGCCGTAAACATGAGCTGTTTTATATGTAAAAAGAAGAATGACTCAGAAAGCAAAACCAAAATCCCAAGATCCTAGAGAAGAGAACCAAGAGACAAACAGAACAACTCCCAGAGAGTAGAACTGAGCCTTAATTATGGAACAAACTAGCAATATGAGCCCAGATAGATTTCAGAATTGCTGTGGATTGATGACTACTATATGCCTCCTATTCTCCTCTTTATGAATTGAAGGGTCTGGTGCTCATGTCTAACCCACCATTATATGTTGGCTATATGAGGAACAGAGAACTTGCCTCTGTAGTTCATAGTTCTTCAGATCAAGAGGAATATACTCAAGTTGGTCCTTGAGGACCACACCTGAGTAGCCTCATTCACTTTGCAGCCTGATTTAAATGGTGAGATCCTGGACTTCAAGCTGATGCCATATAAGATAAAGTTGGAAGTCTTGGGGGAGTTGATGACTATATTTTGCGTATGAGAGGGATGTGAGTTGTTGTGGCCAGAGGGTGGACTGTGGCAGGTTGTAGTTTTCAAAAATAGTCACAATATCTCCCATCCTACAGGTGCCCTATTTTTTTTTTTTTTTTGGTGAGGAAGATTGGCCCTGAGCTAACATCTGTTGCCAATCTTTCTCTGTTTGCTTGAGGAAGATTGGCCCTGAGCTAATATCTGTGCCAATCTTCCTCTATTTTGTATGTGGGATGCCAGCATGACTTGATGAGCCATGTGTGGATCTGTGCCTGGGATCCAAACTGACAAACTCAGGCTGCTGAAGCGGAGCATGCAAAATTAACCACTATGCCACTAGGCCAGGCCCCTACATGCTTTTCTTACAATGTTATCTTGATATTCTTCCCATTGAGTGGCAGTGTCTATGTCCTTTCCCCCTTGAACCTAGGTACACCTTTGTGTCTGCCTCCACGAATATAGTGAGACAGAAGTGACACTGTAATTTCCAAGGCTAAATCATAAAAATTCCATGCACTGCTGCCTTGCTCTTCAGGGGCACGTGATCTTGGAACCCAGCCACCATGCTGTGAGAAAGTCCAAACTATCCCACATGGAGAGATGACATGGAGAGGCCATAGGTAGGTTTTCTGGCAAAGAACCCAGGTGAGATCCTAGCCAATAGCCAGCATCAACAACAAACCATGTGACTCCTGATATCTCCAGATGATTCTAGACTCCAAGTGTTGAGTCATCCGCATTCTTCAAGTCTTCCCAGCTGAGTCCCCAGATATTGTGGAGAAGAGACAAGCCATCCCTTCCATGACCTGCCCAAATTTCTGACCCACAGAAACTATGAAAGATAAGAAAATGGTTCTCATTGTTTTAAGCCACTAAGTTTGAGGACGATTTGTTACACAGCAATAGATAACTGGAACATATGTCTACACAATATGGTTTAAAACCCTATGCCAGGACATTTGAGTTAATTCTTTTGCTATTGTGAACATTGCTGCCATGAAGATTCTTGTACATTTCCTGTAGGCCAAATCTAAAACAGTGTCTTTTAGGTATATACTTAGGAGTAGAATTGCTGTCCAAATTTACAAGATAATGCTAAATTGTTTTTCCAAGAGGTTGCATTAAGTTACATTCCATCCACAAGGTATCAGAAATCCTGTGGATCTCTCACCTCAGGGCTCTTACACTGGCTGTCGCCTCTGCCTGGAATGCAATTCCCTCAGGCATTTGCATAATTCACTCCCTCACACCCTTCAAATCCTTCTCAAATGTCACTTTCTCCATGAGGTATACCTTGACTTACTCCATTTAAATTGAAAATTACTCCACCAGCCCCACCATCATGCTCAATCGTCCTGGCCCTCCTCTGTATCTCCCCTTCTGGCATACTGTATCACTAGTTAATCATTACATTTATTGTTCATTGCCCATCTCCTCCCAGGAGAATGTAAGCCACCACAAGAACTGGCATTTTTGTCTTTTTGTTCACTGCTATATCCTGACCACCTAAAAGAGTGCCTAGTGCAAAGCAGGGTTGGACCAATTTTTTTTTGAATAAATGAGTGAATGTCTACATTTTTTCCAGTTCCCTATAGGAACACACTTTGTAATTTTTGTCAATTAAACAGAAAAATGTTAACTCATTGTCTGATTTTTCCTTGATAACTAAACAGGTGAATACCTCTTCATGTGTTTATTAGCTACATATATTTCTTTTTCCGTGAAACCCCTGTTCATGTCATTTATCCGTTTTTCTAGAGTTGTTTGTTCTCTCTATTGAACTGTAGATCTGTATATACGATCTTGATACTGATTCTTTGCAAGTTATATACCCCCCAAATATCTTCTCCTGGTATGCAACTTATCTTTAAGATGGCTAATAAACATAAATTCTTTATTTTAATATTGTCACTGTTGTGGTAAGTTCTTTTTATGTCTTGTTAAAGAATAAAGTGCTCTTCTCACACTACAGCATCAATGCCAGCACAGTCCTTTCTGATACATTCTTTTTCATTAAAAACTTACTGTATTGACCACAGAGGGATCCCCGCATGAAATTCAAGGTATTACAAAAGAGCTGGGCCCCTCCAGAGAGACAAGCCCCCCACCCCCAGACCCAGCCCCTCTCTCTTTCATTCAGCCTCTGCACCTTCTCCCCTCTGGCAACGTGATGAGAGGAGACAACACCATTAATCACTCCCTAAGAACTGCCAGGTGGGCAAGAGGTGGGGGAAAGCGGAAAAGAGCCCAAGGGAAGGGGCTGCCGTTTGGAAATACCAAGGGGCAGGAGTAGCCCCCCCTTCTTCCCCACCCGCGCCCCAGAGGAACCAGGCGAGTCCCAACAGAGGATTCCAAGGGGTACTTAGGGATTTGAAATGCAGCAAAAAGGATGATAACAATGTGGGGTGGGGGCGTTACTAAGGAGAGCTCAGGATAAAGCAGAAAAGGCTCTTTGCTTTTAAAGAAAGACACCCCCTTTCAGATGCACCCCATCAAGGGGTAACCTCTGTGCCTCTAAGAGAACCCGCGTTGGTGTGGTCTGCACCTTGGCACAGGTTCCTGGAAATGAGACATCAAAGGGCAGGGGATGGAAAAGGGAAGGGGGTTGCTGGAGCCCAAAGGCTATCTATCAATAGCATTCAGACCTTGACATTGTCACTCACTAATCACAGCCTTCCAGAGGCCTCCTTGGCTTTACAACCCAAGGATAAAACTTATTTTTCCTGTAAGGAGGAGAAAAGGGGAAACATCAAAACACAAACACCAGAAGATTACCTTGTCCCTCTTCCTAAGATTAGCTGGACTGTCAGTGTATAACCTGCAGGGATTCTCAGAGCCCTGGCCTGCCCACGGATGAGTCACTAAATCTCATTTGAAGTGTTCAGACTTTGCCTCCAGTGAATAGTTGGCTTTGACACTTTCTGTCACCTCCGCTGAAAAGAGAAGCAACAATCAGTCATTGCCGCCAGTGCTCAGGGCGTGGGTAAACCTCCTGCCTCAGGTCGTCCTCCTTTGCGTCCCCTCCCCAGCACCCCAGAAAGACAGCCTGGTGCTGAGCACTGGACTGAGAGTCAAAAGAGCCAGATCCTGGTCAAATTATTTCCTCTCATCCTCATAACAAAGGAGTTGGCCCCTGTTCTGAGACGAAGCGCAAGCCAGGAAGTTGAAAGGCCAGCAGGCAGAGAACAGAGTCCAGGCCTGACCTTTATCCTACACCGCATGCGGCAGAAAAATGTAAAATGAAACTCTGTGTCCTGCAAAATGACATGAGGCACCCAGAGGAAGCCCACTTCGCTCGGGGCAAATCCCCAGCCCGGCAGACGTCACAGACCCGTGCTTATGGCAATTTCCCCTCCGGGTTTCCCCGCCTCACACCAGCCCACTGTTGTTTCAGGAAATGTGATCCCTCCAGCAGGCAGGACACGTGCTGGTTTAGCCCTGATGGTAACTCTTCAGGAAAAGGAGCCCCGCGCCCAAATTGTCCACAAAGTGCAGAGCCTCGGCCCTGCACACAAGGCAGGGCTCACCCAGAGCATCCGAAGAGCCGGAGAGGGAGGAGGGCGGCGCAAGTCCTGCCTTCAAGGAGCTCCCAGTCTGCGGAAGAAGTCGTCAAGTCGTCAGTGGTCAATCTCCTAATCCAAGGGTGGCGCGACGTCCCTGCTTCGGGGGAGGAGCCTCCCCCGGCAAGTCCCTGAGCTCAGGGAGGCGCGTGATGCGGCAGCCAGAACACGGTTGCCAGATTTAGCGAACGAAAATAAGGGCACCCAGTTAACTCCAATTTCAGATAAACGAAGAATCTTTTTTTTAGCATAAATATGTTCATGCAATATATGGGCCACACTCAAACTTAAAAAAAAGATTCCTTGTCTATCTGAAATTTAAATTTAACTGGACATCTTGTATTTTTTTATCTGAAACCCTAGAACAGAACAAAATCACAAGGCCCAAACCTGAGTCTACGCAAGAAGGTAGAAATCAAGAAGTCATAGAGTCATAATACTGAGGGGACAGTAAATAAAGGGTGGCTCAGAGTTGGCAGGGTGCTACTGAGTCTGTGGGCTGCCCAGGAATGCCCAGGTCATCTGGAATGCCTCAGACTCTGATCCATCACTGCAGGCTGCTGCGAGCTGCATCCCTGTGTGGTGGGAAGTTTGGGACCCAGAGAAAGAAGTCCAGGGGCTTTGCAGCCAGCTGCATCCACTCAAGCCAGAGCTGAGGCAAAGCACACTGGGAGAGAGAGGACCGTAGGCAGGCCCATGGAGAGCGGTGCCAAGATCTGGGAGAAGGCAGAGGGGCGCCCAAGGGATAGTGTGTGCTTTCAAAGGAGGAGTGATGGGAAGTCTTCTTTGTTGCCAGGAATGAAACATCTGTGAGACTGCTGTTGCTAGGGGTGCTGGTAACATGGGAACCTGAGAGCTGGGGAAACTGGAAAACAGGGAAGGAGTGCAATCCAGAGCTAAAGCCACAAACTCCAAAGGTCTGAGCTCCCCGCAAAGCTGGGCAACTGAGACCCAGGGCAAGGTGGCCTCTCCCGAGGAATCTGGCACCAGGAAGCCCGCAGGCCAGCTGCCATCACCCACACCCACGACTCCCCAGCACCCCCCACATGGGACCCACACAGCGAGGCAGAAAAGCAGTTCACCAAGTCAAGACCTACTTTGGAATATCTACCCACTGTCCACCATTAGATCCATTAAGTCAGAGCGCCTCCGTCCAAGGGAGGTCAGAGGTTTCATCTGCTAAGAGGGGTCCAGGATGCAACCTTCAGAAAGGCAGCTTTTCAGAGATGGTTTTAGCAACCTCAGTTCCCACAGCCCTGAGGCTTCGGAATTGCCAACACTAACCAGTTAACAGAGGAAGCTGAATTTAGGGGGACTGCCTGGCACCCGCCCAGCCCCAACCCAGCCCTTCTTCTTCCTCTCCCCTTCCTCGGTTTTAGACAGCAAGCTTCTGGTCCCTGGCGTCCTATGGTGAGGAGAGCTGAGGATGTCTGAGCGCTCCAGAACATTAGGAGTCAGAGCAGCTCTCCCCGCCACTGAGAGAGACCCCCAGGGCTGCCTGCTTTGAGGAGGGTCTGGGGCAGCCTTAACAAGGATTGCCACCACTACTCTTACTATTTACCAAGCACCAACTGCATGCCAGGCCATTTTAAGAACTTCATATATTGCCTTGCTTAATGTACTGTAGCATGGACACCATTGACCCCATTGACCCCATTTTACAGATGAGGACCTGATAGCCACGGGCATCCACCAATCTAAGCAGTTAATACTCAGGGATGGAGGAGCAGTGAGAGAAAATCTCAGACTTTGGAATTGATCATCAGGTCTCTCTCCCTGATTCTTGAGGGAACAAGTACCAGGACAGAAGATGCTAAGGGCAGGCTCCAAGCCCTTGCAAGGCCACTCTCTGACAGCAGGGGGCAGCAATGTCTGCAAAAAAAAAAAATACTCGCCACAGAAAACCTACACACGACTGGTGCAGAGGAATGCAGCTACCGAAAGTAAGAAGTGGAAATGATCCCTTGGGCCCCAAAGAAACTTAAAACAAAACTGGCCTGTGATGCAGGCAGCTCTAATCCAGATTTAGTGAGTGTTCCATCCCGGGTTAGTGAGCCTTCTTATCAGCTTCCTCAGAGCTCAGCAAATGTCCTGTGTGGAAATTAGGGCTCCTCTGGTTTCCCCTCTGGTCTGTCGTGCCAGCCCCTCGAGATGGCCACAACCTCCGTGTCTCCTCTTTCCCTCGGTGGAGTCTCTGCTGGCTCAGGTCAAGACCGCACCCAAGCTCAGAATAGGGGAATGTCCCCAGGGAAGAAAACAAATAGGGATCAGCTGACCTAGGAAAAGCTTGTCCTTCTCTTCTCATCGCTTCCACTGCTCTCCATTGTCTTTCAATATATGATTTTTACAATTTATCCAGTTTTCTTCCAGTCATTGCGTTATAGCAGCAGATGTGGTGGTGGCCTGTGGCAACTTTTTGTATCCTCCCCAGGAGCGAAAGTTCAGGTTCCCCCTCTAAGCTCCTGCTTCCTCATTTGTGAAGTGGTGATGATGGTGTAAACATTAAATGAAAGGCAGTGTGTCAGTCAGCCAACACGGGGCCCAGAGCGTGGTCGTCACTTAGCAGAGTATTGATGCGAGGTTGGTGAGCCGAGGAGTCGAAAGAAAGATTTCTTGGACTCTCAAGATCTGGCAGTAGTGCTCTTTTATTTAGAGAATAGTGTAGCATGGGGACAGGACCCATGGGCAGTCAGGCTGCTGCGTGGGGACAGGGCCCACGGGCAGGAGGAGGTGCTGCTGCTGCCCCTGCTACTGCTGCTGCCCACATGGGTGGAGAGTAAGGCTAAATTTAAGGCATAGGTATGTGAGTTATCTCTTTACAAGACGAAGGAAAGAATATGTAAAAGAGTTAAAATGGTATCAGTGCAGGTGGGATCTGGCCATTGGGTGGTCCCACAACTTTTAGATAAGGATCAGATTGGATTAAGTAAAGGCCAGAAGCCACCACCCTAAATCAGTTACGTGAGGTTGCCAGACAGTAACCAACTTAAGTCCTTGCCTTCCCCATTAAGAGTTTCCAGAGATAAGGCCATCCTGCCTTCCTCCTGGTGCAGAGGGGGAGGCATGAAGATTTCCTTCACAAATGCAAATGTCTCTCAAAGGGCAAGCAAACTCTGCTCCTCGGAGCCTGCTTCTCATCTGCAGTTTTAAAATTAACTGGCCTAAAATCCTCATCAGTATGACCACCTAAGCAGGGTGTGACCCCTGTGGTCCCAGTGAAAAGCACTGGTCTTGGAGTCAGTGGGCTCAGATCTGAATCCCAGTTCCCAGTTTGTAAGCTGCATGACCTTGAATAAGTTGCTTAACCTCTCCTAGCATTAGTTTTCTCTTCAGTCAAATGAGGAAAACCAGTGTCCATCATGAGATGCCTAGTGAGGATTCCGTGAGGTACCATATGTGAAGCCCTTAGCTCTGGGTAGGTAGCCAGTGGTAACTAGTAGTACATCTTATTTCACTTACTGGATGAAATAAGGTAGACGAAGGCATTATGGTATTTAGAGAGTGCCTATAAAAGACCAAGTATTATAATGGATATGAGAAAGGTATAAGGTAATGATAAATATTTCTTAGACTTTCTCTCCATTTAGCAGTTTTCCCAAGTGCTTGACATTCATTATCTCTTCACATCCTCGCCACCACCATGTATGATACAGTGGAACAGATATTATCCCCATTTTAAAGATGAGGGAAACTAAGGTTAATGAGATTGAATGAATTAGCTGATGTCCGCCCAGCTGCTCAGGCTCAGAACCAGAATAAGAATTAGTCTTCACACCCCTGGTTCCTGCCCTCAAGGATGTAACAATCCTCCTGGGAAATGCGCCTCCGTAGCAGAATATAATCGGGTGGTATAAGGTGGACATTAGGCTAGAGTATGGTGGAAGGTCAGAGAAAGAAGAGCTGCAGGGAAGCTTGTTAGCAGAGATGGTATTTATGGTTTGATTAAACCGTGCCAGCCGTGTGGCCCGGTGCAGATCAGAGCCCTAAAGAGAACAGATGAAGCTCAGAAATCCTGAATCGAGGAAGACTGGGAGCACAGTTCATATCTCAGGCAGTCTGACAAGGTCAGATGGCACATTTTTTTATGTATTCATTCCACAAAAATGTTTTGGACTATTACCATGTAGCGGGTGCTGAATACAGTCAGGAATGAAAACATGGCTCCCACCTTCGAGGAGCTTATCATCTAGTGAAGGAGACAATGATCAGATAAACCACAGATAGCTATGCAATTACAAACTGAGATAAGTGTTACGATGGGAAAGTACCAGGTGCATTAAGAGGTCCCCTAACCAGTAACCCAGCCAAGGGTTGGGAAGAGCACAGGCAGGCCAACTCCGAGAGCTCTGCAGGCAGAGGGCAGAGCACGCGACATCCCCACCTGAGAGCGAGTGGAACACTCAAGGAGGGAAGGAGGCAAGAGTGATGGAGAAGGGGGGGAGGAGGGCCACCAAGGGCTGGCCCGGGGGGACCTGCAGGCTGTGACTGGGATCGGGGTCTTAGTCTAACAGATACGTGAAGCCACTGTAGAGTTGTCAGCAGGGGAGGAGCGAGAAGCACACTGAGAAAAGGGAGCAGAAGGTGGCCTTTGCAAGGATCTTTGATCATCAACAATAGTGAGAGTCTGGCTTACTTCAGAAAAAAACGAATTTATTGGAAGCAGATGCTGTAGCATCAAAGGCAAGTCTGAACAGCTGGGCCTTGAGAAGAACAGGAACAAAGGAAGCTCCACAGATGCAAGTGGTGGGGACTGAGAGACGGTCGCCACCGTCAGAATGAATCTGCCCAACCGCTTCCCAGTCCTTGCGCTCCTCTCAAGATGCCAATGCCCCAGAGACAGACTGTGATGGGCCCAGCGAGGGTCACATGCTCATGTTTTGGCCATAAGACAACACACCTAGACTGACAGTCTCTTGGTAAGACAGCTTCCAAGCCGGAGGAGTGTTCCCCAAAGGAAAATCACAAGGAAATTGGGGTGACAGTCCCAAGGAAGTGGGAAGGGATTCTTGACCAAAAAAAAAAAAAAGCAGATGTCTACTATGGATTCTGAAAGAAAGGCTGGAGGATCATTAAGGACAAAGTGGATTTCCCTGTGGCTTTGCCTAGGAAACAAACTCAGACAGCATCATGTCAAGTGGGTGGGAAGTAGAGAAATGAACTGCCAGATGGCACCTCGTATCAGGTCACACGTCATATAACCCTCCTGCAGGCCTCATTCTCTGACTCATCTGTAGCATTCAGAGAGATAAGGTAACCACTAAATAAATAAGCCACCAAGCTTGGTGAGAAGGGGCAGAGGAAACTGAGAAGGAATTTATTCATTCCACCAATAGTTATGTATAAACAAACGCATCCAGGCATGAAAGCTGACTCAAGTGCTCCCCTGCTTTGGGAGGATGAAGGAAGGGATAAGTGTTACCTATAGACGGGAGTCTAGATGCGCAGAACAAAAGGCTAGGAGAATAACGCATTGGATCTGCTGGCAGATTTGTAGGCAGGGAGCCCCCAGGAGGGCCCAGAGCCACTTCTCCTGCTCCTGAACATCTATCCGTTGACAGAATATTGTGGTTTCCTGCCTGGACAGGAAAAGTTTGCTCAACATATGCTAATTCAACATGTAATTTCTAATCAGAAGAACATTTCAAATATGGGTTGCAGTATCTTAAGAAAGCCACAAGGCTTCGAAGACAGTAGATATTGCAAAAGGACTGAAGAGAAAAATTGCACAAAGGTTGGACATTGGGGTGCAACGGGAAGTCTTCGCTCGCCTCTCTGCTCTTTTGTTTCATTGGAATAGGGCTCAAGGTTCTTTGTACAGTTTAGAGGCATTGACCTGACAGTTTCTGAAAGTCTGATTTTCCCCCCATTTGTCACAGAAAACTTCTCCATTGTATTTAGATGAAAACTTTTCAGTGCAAAAAGAGTGGTATGGAGGGGCTGGCCCGTGGCATAGTGGTTACGTTTGCGCACTCCACTTCAGCGGCCCAAGTTCATGGGTTTGGATCCCAGGAACAGACCCACACACCACTCACCAAGCCATGTTGTGGAGGCATCCCACATACAAAACAGAGGAGGATGGGCACAGATGTTAGCTCAGGGCCAATCTTCCTCACCAAAAAAAAAAAAAGAAAGAAAGAAAGAGTGGCATTGATTCTAAGGAAAGAAGCTCAGAGATGAACTGTGATGTCCAATGTGTCAAATCTTCAAAACACCACAGTCAAAACCAAGCGATATCTATTTTGCAGAAAGGCAGTAGGAGAGAGACTGTGGCCATTTCCAACAGCATGTGTTGCTTCCATGTGAAGCAAGCTGATGAATTTACAATACGAGCTTGAGCAAATATGGGAATGTGTGAAGGAAAAGCAGCTCTGGTTCCTTAAAGAGGAAACTCTTACCACCAGGACATTACAGTCGTTTCCTTACTGGTCTCTCCAGCTCAGATCTTTCTCCAATTTAATCTATTTTACGCCAGCTCCAGCCTGATCTTTCTACTGAAGCATCACTCCAAACACAAGCTACCCACCCTCCTAAATCATTCTCGACTCCTTACTCAATTTCCCTGAATTTTAGTCAGCTCCACATTTCCTTGATGATTTTTGTCATGTCTGTGCACCTCCCTATTATTACTTCCTGAATATTGATTAAATTGCCTCATTTTCTCTACTTTGCCTCATCGTAAGCAATATTATCATTATTGTTTAAATATTTTCAATATACATTAATATAAACGCCTAACCGATAAACTTTAAAATGTCCGTCACATACCACCAAAATTCACCCCTGTATTCCCTGGTGGCACCGCCCCCTGGGGACAAGCTTCAAGGCCTGCCCTTGGCTCCCACTAAGCACCCTTCCCACACCCTGTACTCTGGCCTAAGGGAACAATTCATTCCACACACACGCTGCTCACGCCGATGTTTGTCCCACCACCATCTCTGCCTCCAAATCACACTAATCGTTCAAGACCCGGCCCTCCGATGCCACCCCTCTTGACGCCTTCCCCGACTCCCGCAGCCCAAAGGACTCTCGCTTCGAGCTCCCACTGCACTTGGAGCACTTGGGCCTTCTCACTGAGGACTCAGCAGTGGCCTCCTGGAAATACAACGTGTGGGTAGACACGTTCTCCTCTACAGCAGGCTTCCCGAGACCAGAGGGCATGTGTGGTCCTTGTGCATCGGGTCCTGCTACCGTTGCTGGATGAATGTGTCCTTCTCTCTGTCCAGTGCTTTTTTTGGTAAAACACAAATCTGATCACGTCATTCTCCTGCTCCCCACAAAATAAGGGACCAATAACTTAGTAGAAAGAAAGAGACAGGGTCCTTCACAATTTGGCCCCATATGCCATTTTATCCACCCCTTATCTCCCCACTTTCCTCCCAGCCACCCCCTACCCTAAACACACACTCCATCTCTAGCCACACCCAACTCCTTGGCACTCCCTGAATAGGACAGGCTAACTCTTGGGTTAGTCCCCCTTCCATCACCCCATTAAACACACTCCCTCTCTATCTATCAAGCTCCAACAGTCGACCCCTCTGCTGGGGACACCTCTCGGACAGGTCACTTTTAGGACACCCTAAGCCCAGGTCACTCCTAAGGGCCCATGTCCGGTCCACAGGAAATACTTGGATCATTGTCCTGCCATTTGCATTGTAGCCCATCTGTCCTCTGCTGCCAGGCAGAGACAGTGCCAGACACAAGTCAAGTGCCAGTTCCTCTGTTCCCCAAACTCCAGGGGACATATGTCAAGCCCTCCAAGGGTTTTCTGGAAGCCTCTCTCAGATGGCTTGAAGTTGGGGAGGGAAGCACCCCCTCCCCTGGTGGGGTGAGACTGACCCTCTCTCTTCAATCTGTCACTGTACCCTTAGCCTTGTCCTATAAAGCCAAGGTGATAGGGAAGGCCCTTGGCTGGCAGAACCAGGTTTCACTGAATCCCTTTGCAAGTCCTGCATAGACAGTGTGATGTTAATTTTATGTGTCAACTTGACTGGGCCACAGGATGCCTAGACATTTAGCCAAACATTATCCCGGGTGTGTCTGTGAGGGGGTTTCCGGATGAGATTAACATTTGAATTGGTAGACTGAGTAAGGCAGATGGCCCTCCCTGAAGTGGGTGGACCTCATCCAATCAGTTGAAGATCAGAATAGAACAAAAAGGCTGAATAAGAGAGACCTCCTCCTGCCTGACTGCCTTGAGGTGGGACATTGGTCTTTTTCTGCCTTCAGATTCCAACTGAAAAATCAGCTCTTCTTGGATCTTGAGCTTGGACTGAACTACACCATTGTCTCTCCTGGGTGTCCAGCACGCGGACTGCAGATCTTGGGACTTCTCAGCCTCCACAATCACACAAGCCAATTCCTTATAATATGTGTACGCATAGATCCTATTGTTTGTTTCTCTACAGAGCCTTACTAATGCAGACCATCGTGCACCTCGCTTTAGAATGTAAATATCCTTAAGCACCAATGATTTTGCTCTCAGTCTTTGGGGCCTCTGCTGCAACTTAGAAACAATAAGGAAAGTCACATTAAAATTACGCCAGATTATTATTTTGTAACTTTTTCCATAGGGTCCTATGGAAACAATCAATAATCCTTTGAGTTTGCTCCTTTCTCCTGTTTCATATTCCCCTCTCTTGCTTCATCCATGTCTGCATCAGAAGGTACACACTCCTTCCTCTCCTGACAAATGATGAAAGGAAGGAAGCTGGAGCCGCCTGAATGCTGCTGGGGAAACATGGTAAGAAGAGAGCCCAGCAACCTGTGACCATGGAGATGGTTTGTAATCAGCGAACCAAGGGCCTCGCCTGCCTTCCTTCTCTGGGCATCCGAGAAATGGTTGGTTTAGAAACCCTGAGCCCACAGACTATTTTCCAGCAACAACTGCATAGCAACAGGATCAATATGCTGCAAACCCAGCTGTACAATGAGTCAAAAAACTGCTCGTGACCTGCTTATCAAAACCAAAGTTCCGACATCAGGGGCACCAGGCTTCTTTTTCCAGCAGTAGGGCAGACGATATCCTGCACCACCTTCCTCACGGAAACTAAAACTGGATAAAATACATAAGCATCTTTTTAAAAACACATTGCTTAGCTAGCACAAAAAGGAAGAGAATCAACAAAGGTCAAATTGAAGTGAAAGCAAGAACCTGGGAAGTGAGCAGGTGCCAAGGCCTCCTTTGGCCCTGAGTTTCTGTTTCAACAGCTGCAAAGGCTTGGGGTTCACAAAGTCAAGCCCACTAAGGTAAGGAGTCTATCAGGAGTCCCCGCTCAAACCTGGTGCCCCCTCCCTAGGGCTTCGCCCTCAAGGTAGGAGAAGACAGGACACAAAGCCATCGTGCCAAAGGGAACAACAAGGAATGCACGTGTTTTGATCTTGGAGCTGGGGAGGGCAGAATCTCCCCTGGGAACTTGAAAAGCCAGCCTTTAAATGGTTTGTCGTCTGAATTAATACTCTGTGGCAGTGCCTTAAATGATCTGCAGAAGTCAAAGTAAATCCTCCCTGAGGAACAAAACCTCCACTGAGGACTCAAAGAATTTCCACAATTTTCCAAGGAAAATGAGCAGCTTACAGTAAGAAAAGAAAAAAGAAAGAAATCACACAATACAGACAATAAGCAAGGCACTTAAATCAACAGGCAGAAAATTCTACAGGCAGCAAAATCAGATCACCGACAGTTCAAATATTGGCATTATGAGATACTGAATACAAGATTTTTCTACCACTCCATCTGATGAGGATTTTAGGCTGGTTACTTTTAAAACTGCAGATGAGAAGCAGGCTCCGAGGACTGGAATTTTGCTTGCCCTTTTGAGAGACATTTGCACTTGTGAAGGAAGGGGGGATGACCTTGTAGGGACCTGAAATTGGCCACCCCAGGATATGTCTCTTTGGCATCGGGATTGTTTGGGGCTGATTGCTTTTGATAAACTGGGACAGGGAAGGAGGCTCTGGGGAATGGAACTTGCCCTTGTTGGGACACATTTACATTTGTAAGGTAAATCTCTATCTGTAAAAGGTGCCTCCCTCTCTGTACCAGGAAGAAGAAGAGAGATGACCTTATCCCTAGAAACTCTTAATGGGGAAGGCAAGAACTTAAGTTGGTTGCTGTCTGGCAATCTCATGTAACTGATTTAGGGTGGTGGCTTCTGACCTTTACTTAATCCGATTTGATTCTTGTCTAAAAGTCATGGAATCACCCAATGACCAGACCCCACCTGAACTGATACCATTTTAACTTTTTTTCATGTTCTTTCCTTTGTCTTCGTAAAGAGATGACTCACATACCTATGCCTTAAATTTAGCCCTAACCCACAACTCGGGGCAGCAGCAGGAGCTCTGCCTGCCCATGGGTCCTGTCCCCATGCTACACTATTCTCTAAATAAAAGAGCACTACTGCCAGATCTTAAGAGTCTAAGAAATCTTTCTTTCGACTCCTCGGCTCACCGACCCCGCATCACATCCTTGCCTAATTTCTCCTCCACATGTCAATCAGTGTTCTGGCTCTCAGCCCCTTTCTATTTCTTCAGAGACTCTGCTCTTACTTTTCTTCTTTCTCAACCTCTCTTTCTACAGACACCTTCTCCAAGAACTACAAACACGTCCATATCTTTCCCAGTAAGGAAGGAAGGAAAGAACAAAGAAAACTTGCTTCCCGCATCTCGCTCCACCACTCCTACAGCTCCACTTCCTGAAAGAGCAGCTACTGTGCGAGCGCTCCCCGCTGCCCATTTGCTCCTCAACTGCAGTCTGCCTTCCACACACAGCCCCACCACTCTTCTGAAACAGCCCTGACCCAGCTTGTCAGTGTCCTAAATTACCATGTTACCAAATCTAACGAACTGGCATCTTACCTGTTATTGCTGAGCTGTTTGCACTGTGGCCATTCCCTCTTCTCAGAAACTCCTCCCTCTGCCTCTGTGACATCACTTTCTTCTGATTTTTCTCTTCCTCTCTGGTCATTTCTTCCCATTCTCCTTTGAGTGTTACATCTCCGCTGCCCACTTAAAGTGTTGTTGTCTTAAAGTTTCTGTTCTCAACACTTTTCACAGTCTCCCTGATCATGCTATCCATTCTTAGGGCTTAAAGCAGCCATGTGTCTCTGGCAATGTAAGAAATCTTTCCAGCAGGTACTCCAACATGAATAGTTTTAAGACGATCAGTTTCCAGATCCTCAATTTCCATGTCTATTCCTTCCTAGAATCAATCTGCCTGAGAATATGCCTGGGATCAAGGTGTCTTCCTTCACAAGCTACCTCTCGCTCATCCTAAGTCTGATTATGGTACATTCCTCCACAGTTTATGTAAAAGTCTCTGGGCCAGCAACTTGAAACATTGCTGTAGGTACTGAGACTACCTAGAATGACTATTATATAGGGAATGACTATAATATGGGTAATAAAGGCTCTTACAAGTTAGAAGCGTTCCAACTCTCGTCAATAAATTGAAGAAAGACCAAATAGAGTTATCAGCTGATTGATCATTAGAAATAGTTTTTGATGATAGATCAGTATGTAAATTATGGCATATAATTCAGAACGGGTTTAAAGAATTGATTGGCTGTAATAACTTCTTCCATCCTCATCTACTTATTTGTCTAAACAAAGTTTCTGAGCATTAATATCAAAGCAGTGAAAACTATTGAGGGAATTTATGCTGAGCCCTATGCTGTTCCAGGAATAAGGAGCCTCCATTCACAGATACATGAGCTGGTAGGAAAAAATTCCAACCCCACCAATCTCATTAACAGATGCATTTTCAGTAATATTTTACTTTTATGTTTCATGAATGTTTATTTAAACTATATTTGTTATTTTACTCAATTGTGTACTAAGAATTATTTTAATGATAACTCAATCTAGAAGAAATTAATTAACACTTAGAGCCTTATGGTCTCAGGAGGAAAAATGTAATTTATTTTAATAAATATATAGTAATATTTGTTCAGATAAGCATAAAAGGACATTCAAGAAAAATTTCTTAAGCATATAAATACGTTACTTTAGGATTACATTTCATGGGAAGAGTGGAATGGAAATACAAGCTCACGGAGAAAAGGGAAAGATGTAAAACTCTCACCCTGTTAAAGAGGATCTTGTCCACGTATTTCTTTAAATGAATAATGGTGGGTGGCAGATCACACTGGCACTTAGTTTCTACTGGATGCATTCAAATGAGTGATGTGATAATTTTCTTTTAAAATGTCAATATTTAAAATACATCAGAAGTGACATATTTTGCAAACGTTCAAATTTATAATAGAGGATTTTGTATGTCAACTTAAAAATGTGTGAGGGTAAATACTGTACAATTCCATTTATATGACATTATAGAAGAGACGAAATTAATCTATACTGAAAAAAAAGCAGAACAGTGGTTGTCTCTAGGAAGGTCGGGGCATGGATTGACTGGGAAAGGGAACAAAGGAACTTTCTCGGGTGACAGTAATGTTGTATACCTTAATTGGGTTTGGGGCTAGAAAGGCAAAAGCATTTCTCAAAAATCATTAAACAGTATGCTTAAAATGTGTACATTTCATTGAGGTAAATTTTATCTCAGAAAAAAAGAAAAACTATAAACAAATATTTGAACTCTAGTTAATGTTATGCATGCTGAAGAGTTTAGAGGTGAAATGTGTTGATGTCTAAAATTTATTTGGAAATGCATAAAAAAATAAGATCGATTGACAAATGGACAGATGTAGCGATAAGTAATGTAACTAAAGCAAAAGGTTTATAGTAGAATCTAGGTGGTGCGATATGGTGTTCACTGCTCAATTATTTCAACTTTACATTTGAAAATATTCACAATAAAATATTGGGGAAAATGTGCAAGGGAGAATATATTTTTTCATAATTCTTTTAGGGGATGTGTGGGCAAAAGTTTGAAGACCACTGGTTTCTATTATCACCATTTACTGATGCATCTTTAACCTAAACTTACAGCCCGAACCTCTCTCCAGAATCCCAATCATATTTCCATCTGTCTCCTGGACCACTCCATCTGGATTTTCCATCAGATCTAAAACTCAACAGATCCAAATATGAATTTATTGTCTTCCCATGTCAGAAATATCATCAGCTACAGTAACAAAATATAAAAGTCAAACAAAACAAGGGCTATTTTTCTTTCATAACAAGAAATCTGGAGGTAGGTGGCCGCTGGCATTGGTTCGGTAGTTCAACAATCTCCTGGCTGGCAGGTCTGCAATTCTTTTGGCCTTTCCTCACAGTCACAAAATGTTCTGCAGCTCTAGTCATCATGTCTGAGTTGGAGACAGGAAAAAAGGGAAGGGAGCAATGCCAGTGTCAATTGAACATTTTATCAAGACAATTTCAGATTTTCCAGAAGCCTCCCAGCAGACTTCCACACAATCCCATTAATCAGAACTGTGTCATATGGCCCGCCCCCCAGCTGCAAAGGAAATCAGGAAGCGAGTACTTTGCTTTCCTACCCTCTAAATGGATGTAGGATTGGGTGATGGAGGAGCCCATCTAAAGTATGTGTAACATTCTCCCCCAAACTTGCTTCATCTTCTATACCCTCTATCTCTGTTAATGGTTCCATGATCTGCCCAGCTACCCAAGTAAGAAACCCAGGAGTCATCCTTTCCTCTCTTTCTCCTTCTATTCCTCATATCTACTCTGTCTTGATCTTTTATCTGACAGTCTGAACATCTCTCAAATCTGAGCCTCCTTCCTATACCCACAGCCACTACCTTAGTCCAGGTTCTCATTTCTTACCTGAACTGCTGTAACAGTCTCTTAATTAGTCTCAAGACTTAACGTCAAACCATCCTCAATGTTGCCCCAGCTTGACCATTCTAAAAATAGAAATCTAACCATCTTACCCCCTGCTTCGATCCTGTCTATGACTTTGCATAACGTCTAGTTTAAAGGCTAACTTCCTTATTACGTCATTTGATGTCATCCTCTACCTTGGTATAATAATCTACTCTTGGAAATGTGTTATCACTTAGGACTCCCTAGTCCTGTCAAGGGTCAACTCCCCTAAGACACGACTTTGTCGATCCTGGAGCTGAGGAAGTCTATACTCAAAATCTAAATCTGTTATGCTAGGCAGGCAACCATCTGTGTGCCAAAACCGTGTGAAGGAATAATAAATTTATATGTTATAATAGGGGCTCTGTTCCCAGAGAGTATAAAATGTACGATCTCTAAATGTATTTTGTCTTAGAGACATAAAGTTCAACAATATATTTAAGGTATAATATCATTGTTGATTCAGCTCAGAGATTTATTGAATACCTACTGTGTACTAGACACTACTCTTTAATCTAGTTCTTTTCCTTTATAATAGATCAGAGATGGTAGCTGTAGAACAATAAGTATTTGATTGAAGCTAAAGATTTGCCTTTTTCTGTCTACCTAATGACTTCTGTCTTTGTCTCTATTTCACTGTTTAAGACTTATGCTTATTATCAGAGTCAGCACTTTCATTTTTCTGTCTTCTACTCATTTTCATAAATAAAATTCACCAGGTATTCAAACAAAAGTCCAACGACACAGATGTAGGCAAAGATGGCAATATGGTAGAAACTGGTCACCTGACTGAGTGCAATACAATAAGAGCCAACCATTTTATAGGACTTATTCTGTGCCAGGCACTGTTCCAGGCACTGTACAAATATTAACTCATTAATCTTCACAACTCTTTGAAGTGGGTACCATATCTCCATGTTGCAGATGAGGAAACCGAGGCCGGAGGACAGTTGTGCATTTTCGTCTGCTGACTGAAAGCTGTGCCCACCACCTTTCTGACCCACCTCCCTCTCTGCTCCACTTGGTTCCCCAGGAGGCCTTGTTCTCTCCAGCCCTCTGCTTTTGCACATGCTTTTCCATCTGCCTGGACTGCCCTTCCTCTCTGCTCAGACTCCTTTTTCAAGACCAGATCAGGCCCACTCTCCTCAGCAAAGCATTTCCTGCCCAGTGCAGTGAGGCCAGGCCGTGCTGGCCCGAATCTTACCCAACCTCTTCACCTTGCGATAATTACTTGCTTACAGATCTGTGTCTACCATCAGAAGACGGTGCTACTAGGTTTGGCTGTCTCCGCATGGTTGAGTCCCTAGGGCTTGCTACTATGTCTGGCCTAGAATAGACACTTAAAGTTTTGCTGAATTAATGCATAGGCTCCTTGGATTTTACACTTTCTTTCGCCCCCATACTGTCTGGCACCACATATTGTAGACACTTAGTCAATAGGAGTGGGAGTCTGGTTTCCCCGCCAGCAGCCTAACTTAATAAACAAAGCAACACAAAACCTGCCACCTTTTCTCCTGTCTCCACATCACAATTAATCCCCCCGAGGATTCGGATTCCTTTCCAAGCCCTCCCTTCATCAGTCGAATCCAGCAGAAGCCGGGGAGTCTGACTCCCCATCTGCTGGCCAGGACGAGCAGGATGGGGAGCAGCCGTCAGGGCGCAGGGCAGCCGCATCCCGCGCCTTCTCCAGGGTCTTGCCTATTAAGGTAAGAGTCCTCGGAGGAGCGCGGGAGGGGCCGAGGGAAGGTCCCCTAGAAGCGGCCTCCGCCGCCTGTGCGCTCGGACGGCGCCAAGGAACCACAGCCCTGGACCGGGCGCCCCGGCCCGCGTGCCCCGAGACGGGTACTGCCAGAGTCAGGGCCGCCTCAGGTCCTACTTATCTCTTCTACCCGAGGCCCCCTTCCTAGGTTCCCTTAGCCACTGGGGCCTCGTCCTAAATCTCAGCCATCACCACAGGCCTCAAATGAGCCTCTGCACAGGGCGCTGATTAAATGGGTCTCGGGTCCCCAGCGGACGCTCCTTCCTCGCGGATGCTCGGATAACCACCGGGAGTGGGGCGCGTCGCCCTGCATCCGGAGGAAGGGAGGCGGTCCCTCGTCCCGGGGGGAGAGCGGGCGACGTTCTCCTTCTGGCAGCTGGGTCTCCACTCCCGCTACGCCCCCACCCCTCGCCAGCCTCTCCGCTCAGAGTACCCCCGACCCGCTCTCTTTCGACCGGCTGCCAGGCTGCCGCCCCGCCCCCCGCAGGCCCCGCCCACAGCCCTCGCGCTCCGCCCCCTCCCCGCCGGCTCCCGCCGCTCCCGGCGCTCCGAGCGCGGGCCCGGGGACTCGAGATCCCGCCGCCGGGGCCGCAGCATGGGGCGCTTCCGCGGGGGCCTGCGGTGCATCAAGTACCTGCTGCTCGGCTTCAACCTGCTCTTCTGGGTAAGACCCGGAGCCGAGAGGGTCGGGCAGGGGAGGGGGCCGGGCCGGGGCGCGGGGCCGGAGTCCCCCGGGGAGCTAACCGCTGCGGCGTCCGAGCCGGGCTCCAGAAGGCAGGGTGTTCCAAAAGGCGGAGGTGAGAAGGCAGCAGACAAAGAGGGAGGAGAGGGATGGAGGGGAGAGAACGGAAAGAGTGAGAGACTGAGCAACGAGCAATGGTGAGAAGAGGGCAGACACCTTGTGGCTCTTCCCTTTGAGGAACCTCTTGCCTTCGTCTTCATCTGGCAGCTGGTGGTGACTCCAGGTGCGGGGACAGCAGCCTCTCCTCACCTCCTGAGCGGTCGGCTCCCCGCCAGCCTCCCGTGCACACACCCCTTCTCGCTCTGCCTTTACGCTGGAGCCAGGGCCTGGCCAGGGCGTTGGGAGTGAACCCCCTGCGCCGGGCCGCTAGGGATGGTACCCCAACCGGAGTGTGTGGAGACACCACTTGGCTGTGATGGTTTTGTTTAGGAAATTGCGGGTAGGAGTAAAAATGGTGTACGTGTGTGTGTTTCGGGGCTGGGGGTGGGGGGCGGAGGGTCGTTCTTTTTCTGGGAATTAGGGGAGGGTACCACTGGATGGGGGGAGGTGGTGGTGCTCTTCTGTGAAAGGGAGGAGTGGAAGAGAGGGGCTTCCAAAGGTAGCAGCTTCTCCCTACAACCAGCCGGCAGCCTCTGCTACATACTAATGCTCCCAGAAATGATCTCATTCAACTTTGCGTTGAACGCACCACATTCCCGGGATTAGTGGTTTACAGAGAGATAAGGGCCATGACCCTTGTCTCCTATATTACGGGGACGAGGTTAGTGCCACACCATCCATGGATCCCTGGATCCCCTGCCTCTCGCCCTGGAGCACTGTAAGACAAGGTCTGAAAATTCTCTTGTCTGTGTATTCCCTCTTGGGCTTTCTCAAGAGAATGTCAGCCAGTGTATCTGCTCAGATAGACCCTGAGGGGAAATAGAGATCTTGCTTTGGGGGGAGAGGCTCTTGGTGCTGGGAGGGAGCAGCAGGGGCCTGGGTGCTTTGAAACTAGAATTGAGGAGGGTGGTGGTTGTCCTGACTGCTCCAGGGAGTTTGTCTTCCCGTGACTGCAGCTAATTAATTATTGAATGATGGGCTCTGCTTGTGTCTGCTAACCCATTAGCCCAGATGCCTGAGTGACTCCAGCAACAACAAGCTCTCAGAGGCCAAGATACCATCCTCAGCATCCCTCAGCAGGGGAAGATGTGAAGGAGGTACCCCGAAGACAGCCCCTGCATTTTAAAAATACACTTGTTTTTTGTCCACCTGGGCATTTACAGCCAGCATACTCAGGGGGCAGAGGCGGGGGCATTTCTAAAGGCCCTTTATGTTGTGCTTTTTAATAGTCTGGCTTAATTTCAAAAGCTGTTAATTATAGATGTCATGCTTCAGTGACACCCTTCACTCTCTCTGCTTACAAATTCAAAAGAAGTTTTCTATCAGCCTGAGAAGGAATTCTGAGGCTGGGTTCAGTGCGTACTTAGGCCTGCTGTTGTGCCAGCCTTTCCAGGGATAATAGAAGCATTTACTGAATCCTTTCAGTGTGTCAAGGATAGTGCTAAGCACATTGCATTCATTATTGCATTTAATCCTCACAACAATTCTGATGTGCGTACTGTTATTATCCTCATTTTTCACAGATGAGGAAACAAGCTCAAATAGGTTAACATGCCCAAGATCACACAGCCCGTGAGTGGCAGCGGTGGGACTCAGACTCAGCCTACATGCTCCTAAGCACTGTGATACGTTAAACTTCTAACCACTGTTTCTCAAAGTGTGGCTCCTGGACCAGCAGCATCAGTACCTTCTGGGAACGGGTCAGAAATGCATGTTCTCAGCCCCCTTCCGGGCCTGCTGAATCAGAAAACTCTGGGGGAGGGACTCAGTGATCTATTTTAGCAAGCCCTCCAGGTAATTCTGATGCATGCTGCAGTTGAGAACCACTCAAACAATTATCAAGCAAGTATTGAAAGATATAAAGATAACTTATACATATATCAACATATGTAATTTATAAATATAAAGCACTGTTCCTTAAGCTGCTAATCTAGTTGAGGAAACAAGTCCAATGCATATAGAACAACAACAAACAAATAAGACAGTGTATAATCGAGTGGCAAATTTCACACCTCTGACCATAAAGACAGTCAGGAAGGGAAGTAGGAACAAAGCGAAGTTTGAGTGTCTACCATGTCTTAACCACTGGGCTTAGGCGTGACCTTTGATACACAGGATCTAATTAAGGCGTTCAGAGAAAGGGTCAGAGCCACAGTGAGGAGTCAGGACAGTTCTCCTGAAGGAGGGGATGTTTAAGCTGAACCTCAAAGGATTGGTAGAATGGAGGTAGACAAGGTGAGGGGGTGACACACTGCCCACCAGCGTAGGAACAGAGCAAGGGTGAGTGTGACACTGTCTGATGAAAGGGTCAGGCTTAAGTGCAGAGATCCCAAGAGGGTGTGCTTGAGCAAGTTCCCCTTACTTCTAGGCCTGTCTTCTCATCTGTACAGTTGGGGTAATAGAGTTGTTGATAGGATTAAGAGGAAATACATGAAGTATCTGACCTCACCTTCCTCTGAGCCTAGTCCATAGTAAGTGCTCAGAAAATGTTATTGGGCCTGGTGGCACAGCAGTTAAGTCACACGTCCTGCTTCAGTGGCCCGGGGTTTGCCGGTTCGGATCCTGGGTGCAGACCTACGCACTGCTTGTCAAGCCATGCTGTCACAGGCGTCCCACATATAAAGTAGAGGAAGATGGACACAGATCTTAGCTCAGGGCCAGTCTTCCTCTGCAAAAAAGAGGAGGATTGGTGGCAGATGTTAGCTCAGGGCTAATCTTCCTCCAAAAAGAAAAGTGAAAAAAAGAAAATATTATCATTCAGTGACTGGCACATAGGAAGCATTCAGTAAAAGTTAGCTCTCTTTTCTGAGGCCCACAGTGTTGGGGAATAGTGTAGATGTTTGCCAAGTGACTAGCAGCTTGTCTTCATTTAGGATAACTGCACGTTATCTTCCCAGTTTGTACTTGCGGATTTTCCCCACTAGAACTGAGAACACTGAGAGAAGGAATTCTTTTCTGTTTTGTTCACAGCTGTGCCCTAGTGCCTAGAACAGTGCCCAGCATGTAGGAGGCACTGGTAAATAGCCGTGCAGTGAATTGATGAGTCTGCAGTTTAGAGAACTTGGTACAAATGGCCTTCCTGATTTGCACAGGTGATCAGTTATCAACTTTATCTGGAGGACTGAGCCTATCTCTTCCTGCTCATTACCTTTCGATTGTTCACACAGATTGAGCCCAGCAGGGGAAGGTGGGGCCTTCCTCTCTCCCAGTTCCTTGGTGGGTGGGAACCCAGGGTCTTGGAAGAGCGGCAGTTGCAGGCAGCCTTCCCACGTCTGTACATACATGACCAAAGGGAAAGGGGCGCCCTGAGACGGGTACCTAATGATTTAGGGGAAAGCAGTTGTTTGGGATAAATTATCCAGATATCTACCTTGACTGTAACTGAGGGAACCAGATTCCAGAAAAGCCCTGCCCTGGTTTCTGAAGTTGTTTTTCCTGATTGGAGGGGTTTCTGGGAAGTGTGGGGAAGGGGCAGAGGGTGGGGGACGTTTTCCTGGAGGGATCGGCTGTCGCTGTGACTTCAAGCGTGGTATTTACACACACCCTTCGATGCTGGCGTGCCTGCCCTTCTAAGGTATAAGGTCCCTCTCTGTGGCAGCACTTCCTTTCCTGTCAGGAACTCACCAGAAGGCTGGCACGGAGGCGGGGGTGGGGTATGTTTTGTGATCCGCAGTTTGACAAGTGGATTTGCAACCTCCTGGCAACTTGGTTGAAGTTTCCCTGGGCTGCGCTCCTGATCTTATAAACATCCACTGGATCCTGCCTGAGCCGGCACAGCACTCCCTGGCCCAGGGCCGCCGACTGTATTCACCATATTCAGAAACAAAAGTAAAGCCTAGCCGTGAACCCCACTAAGTTAATTTCTGTTATCATGGTTGGTGTCTAACATGAAGCCCCTCCCAGCATCTGTGGCGTCTGAATTGACTGTGGTGTCTGACACCACAGTCAGATAGCATGGCAGAGTCCCTGCCTTTCACTGAAAGCACCTTTATTTTTTCCCTCCGTTGCATAGCAATATAAATAACACACCACAGTCCACCAAGCCGCATCTGTTGGTTTAAAGAAAACCTTGGGCGCTGTTTATGCCTTGGCTTATTGTCGTGTGCTCAGCGTTTTCCTATCATTGTGCTGTATGAGCTGCTCAGGGCTACCGACCAACAGGAAGCAGGACTGTTCATTGTAGAAAGTCAGATGCCATATATGGCTTGTTTGAAGTTGTTCTCCTTTCCTTCTCGCCATGATTAATGCAGCCTTGGGGTTTCACTTGGCGATGTCTGACAAGTGCTTTTAGGAAAGACAGTGTCTCCTGGGCTTTGGAGTGAAAGATGTTTGACTCCACAGAAGCTGACCAAGGTTGCCTGCCTCTCTTTCCCAAACTTACCTCAAACAGTAACTTCAGATCTATGAGAAAGATTGGTTAAAAAAAAAGAGCTGAAGGCGCCAGCCTGGCGTAGTGCTTAGTTTCATGGGCTCTGCTTTGGCAGCCTGAGGTTTGCAGTTTGGATCCCGGGAGCAGACCTAGCATCGCTCATGAAGCCATGCTGTGGTGGCATTCCATATCAAATAGAGGAAGATTGGCACAGATCTTAGCTCAGTGACAATCTTCCTCAGGAAAAAATAAATCCCTGAAGAAAGTATTCCTCCAGGTTCACCCAAAAGCTAGACCACCCCAGAAAGCAGATAGGGATTTCCTTGGCCTTCTTGTAGGATAGTCTTCATTTCTGATTTCTGTCAAGGTGGGAAGAGAGCAGCAGTGGCCAGCCTCCTGCAGTGTGGACGAGAGGGGCCAGCCTCCGCCAGTGTGGACTGGGAGGGACTAGGAGTCTGTGACAGGGGCCAGTCTGCAGACAGTCTGCAGCGTGGCAATTCAAATACAGGGATTCAAAGCCTAGAAGGTGGATACTGGCATCGCACTGCCTGGGTTTATTCCTGGCTGTACTATTTACCAACTAGGGGACCTTGGGCAAGTTGTTTAACCTCTTCGAGCCTCAGTTTTCTCATCTGTAAAATGGACGTGATCAAGTACCAACATCAATCTATGATCTTTGTGCGGATAATGAGTTCATGTGTGTAAAGTAGTAAGTATGGTACATGTGGGTGGTAAATACTCAATAACAGAAGATATTAGTAGTAGTCGTGTTTAAACACTAGAAGTGCAAGAAGAATCCAGAATCCAAAAGGTTCGTAAAAGTAAGGAGAAGTGGGCAGTAGGTGTCCTAGGCCCAACCAACCAAGCACAGCAGCAGGAGTCTCGTAGCTTATGAAGGACAAGGAGTCAAAGGGGAGGTTCCCTCCTCTGCAGTCAGTCACTCAGCAAACATGTGCTGACCACCTGCTACGTCCCGGCCCCCTGCCACACGCTGGGCTTTCAAAACCAGTAAGACACAGTCCTTGGCCTTGAGGCACTCGCGCCTTTACTAAGTGCTCCATTTGGCCTTTGATTGTGGTTTGCTTCCTCTCTGGTGTCTTTGCTCCTTGCAGGCGGGGACAGTGTCCTGCTGGTGGCCTCCTTCCGTCCTCAGCACCTGGAAGAGGTTCAGCATCACAGGATGGCTCCAGTTAACAGGGCTGTGTGCACTGACCCCAGTGCAGGAGCCATCTGTTTGTTACCTGCCCGGCTGCTGAGCTTCCACAGGGAGGCCTGTGGGTGCAGTGGGAGGCCTTTGGGGATCAGTGCCTCTCCGACTCTAATGTGCGTACAAATCACCCAGAATCTTGCTCAGATATATCCTCTGATTCAGTGGGTCTGCAGTTGTAACAAGCCCCTGGTGACACTGATGTTGCTGGTCTAGGGAACCACTGGTTTTGATGAGGCCTGAAGAGGTCGAAGACCCCCGGTGGCTCTGGTTTCTGAATGGAGCAGAGAGTGCCCTTCCTCTTGGCCTGCTCCCCTGGCTTCCTTGCGGCAGTTCTCTTCATTCCAGTGACCACTTTACCATTATTGTCTTAAGACCTTTTTTTTTTACATTAAGATTTGATGGTTTATAGTATTACCAGGCAGCCACCTGTTCATTGTCCATTGTGTTTCACTGTGTTATTCTAGAGCATTCATGCAGTGTCTTTGGGTCTCCAGTCATGTGTGACAAGAGAACATAACCTCCATCCCCTACTTTATTATTCACAGTTAATCTCACAACAGGGCTGTTCTCCGAAAGCAAGTGATGCTATACTGACCACCGAGACCGGTCACGTCATGGTTGCTAAGGAATTAAGGAGAAGGAATTGAGAAAGAGGCCGGTAAAATGAGAACACCAGATGGGCTGGGAACACATCTTACAGATGAGTAAGGGTTACCTTGGCTTGCTTTTTTCATCCTCTTTGGATTTAATTGGGAACAAAAATAATAATGCTAATTAATATTCATATAATGGTTTAGTTTACAAAATACTCTCACATGCATTATCCCATTTGATCATGAATCACAACAATCCCATGAAATAACGTAATCATTCCCATTTTACAGATGCGGGAGCTGAAAGTCAGGCACAGTAGGTAGTATGTCTGAGATCAAGGATTTAGGGAGGAGCAGAGCCAGGATTCACACCCAGGTCTTCTGATTTGAAACTAATTTTAATTAAATGTTCCTTTCCGTATATTAAGGTATTAGGGCATGTGGAGTATAAAGTATAAGAAACATTACTGGCTTGGAAAATGTGACATCTGTGACCAGGGAGATTACATCCAGTGTTGGATTTAGTCTTGATGCATTCCAGAAATGCAGGTACAAAAAGACAGGTAAATCAGGCCGGCATAAGGGAGAAGTCGGAGAGAGGCTAAGAGCACTACTGATCAGTTTAAGGCGGAGGAAGCAAGACGGGAATTGAGAAAGGCTATGTATTAAGAGACAGTTTTTGAACCTAATTTCAGTAGGAAAATCTTGAAGGGTAATGAACATTATATAAATATAAGCTGTGTGCCAGCTGCTTTCCTAAGTACCTTTTGTATATTAACTCCTTTAATCCTCACCATGACCCTCTGAAATAACAGCTCTTTTAACATGAGGAAACAGAGGTGCAGAGTTTAAGAAACTTGCCCGGGGACTCAGGGCTAGCCCGTGGCGGATCTGGGTTTCTGTGTGTGGCCTCGGAATCCAAGGCTGCAGATGGACAGGGAGAGGGGGTTGAAGCTATGATGAGCATGTGAATTCTAGACCTGCACTCTCCAGTACGGTGGCTACGCTGCTAATCTCATGTGGCTATTCAGATTTAAATTAATTAATATGAAAAGAAATCTAATGCTCAGCTCCTAACTTGCACTAGCCACATTTCAAGTGCTCAACAGCCTTAGGTGGCTAGTGGCTACAGCACTGGCCAGAACATTTTACATTAACATCATTGGAGAAAGTTCTGTTGGATAGCCTTGCCTGAATATAGCTATTCTTTCTCTCGTAAATCATCTTTTCCTGTTTTTCTCTTATTGGGTCTTATAAAAACTGAAACTAAAGAGAGGGAGGAACATAGTTTCTGGAAAAGGGCACTGACGTATCTAGTATAGAAGGTTTAGAAAACTCCAGGGAATTCCGGCTGTCAGGGAAGGAAAGTAGTGCTAAATAAAAATTAGTAGAGGAAGGCAGCAGAGGACGAGTTATTGGTACCATGGGAGTGGTGTTTCCTATCTTGAGTAGGATTCAGTTTTCAGTTTGAATGTAACGTTAGCAAGTCTACCACAATATTAACACTAAGTGCCGGGCAGGGCACTCCCTGTTCGAAGTGTGTAATGGGAACTCATTTAATCTCTTAGGGAGGCACTGTTTTTACCTGCACTTTGCAGCTGAGGAAACTGAGGATTAGCGAGCTCAAGTGACTTGCCCAAGATCACAGACTAGTGAGGAGCAGAGCCTGATTCAAATCCAGGATGCCCAGAACCCTCTGTTTTTATCTGCTATGACTCTGTGACACCGCAGTGCTATACACATGGATGTTTCTGTTATTATCCTGTCTAAGGACATCATTATTCATTGTCTGAGTCTGAATACTCAGAAGAGGTAAAATTTTCTACAAGAACAGTTGGCAAATATCCCAAAGTGTGTGCCAAGCCCTGCCCTCCCCATCATAATGGTGATTGAGAGAGAGTCAGCTTATAAACTGGGTCAAGGGACTTGGCCATGGACCGCAAAGCCCCCAGTGAGCAGGACCAGGTGCCTTGGAATCTGCTGCCACTCATCCAGAAAGCCCTGTTGGTCTCCCTGTGTGTGCATCCCTGTCCATCCCCGGTAAATGGCCCAGTGCTGCCTGCCTTCATGACCACAAACGACTTCTGGTCAAACTGCTATCGAGAAAAATCTCTCTAGAACACCAAGCTAGACTTTCATGATTTCTACTGGATTCCACCCAAGCTAACTTTTAAATAAATAAAGCATTTGGGCTGGTTCTAGTCTAACCTGAGTTCCACCTGAAACATTTTTTCCTCCCATGGTCTCTCTGTAACAACTAAAACTGGGTGAAGATCATTATTATTGATTGATATTTAAGAATCCTGTTTATCTGCTCAAGAGTGGTTCTCTCAAACTACCTTGAGAAATATTAGGCTGTAAAATAAATATTGTTTATTGTCCTGTCTTTGCTTATATAAAGCTTGATGTAGACAAGATGTCACAGGAGTCATTGTAGCCCTCGAGGTAAGTGTTTATTCAGAGGGTGAGCCTAGAGTAAGAGCCAGCTGGAGGCTGCGAGGAGGAAGTCCAGAGAACATAGAAAAGACCATTATTGTCCTCCTGGAAATGTCCTTGAGGCGAGGTAAGGCAGACATTGGGTTTAATTCACGTCAGTGACTTGGTGGATTGGGTTTTAGGCCTGGATGTATTTGGCCTTTGCTTGGTGAAGCCGTCTGCTTGCTGGAATCATCAGCCAGTAGTCCAGGACATTTGTTTTGCTGTCTAAAGAAAACTGTACAGCCATCGTCCTTCTCCTAATTCCTGCTGATCTCTCCTCTCCTCCTCCTTTTGCCTGTATTTCTTTAGAGAAAATATGTATAACCACTGAATAAATACAACCTACTTTCCACCCTCTGTGTTATATCTGCTTTACCATCACAGCAAGCTTTTCATCCCGGGTCAGTTTCCGTCCCCTGAGCTTGTCTCCCCCAGCACTTCTCTGCTGCCTCCCAACAATGTCAGTTGACCCACACAAGTTAACTTTACAACAACCTAAACAAACAGAGGAAGGTGCATTTGGCGCAAAAATATAGCCCAGTGTTCTTTCCAGAGATGAAGAGAACACTCCTGATTCTGTCATGGATTGCAGAACCCTTCCATCAGTGCAGAGAATTAAGCATTGATTGATTTTAAAATGTATCCTTACCCGAAGGAAGTCTTTCAGAAATTTCTTACCATGAGCTTGTTCTTATGAAATCATTATGAGGAAAATAATAGGAGAAGTCAGAAACAATGGCATCTAACCAGTGGATTTCCAAACTAACAGCCATCCATCAGATGCTGCCGTGCTCCTGCCTCCCAATTCCACCTCACCTGGTCCTGATGTTGAGGCAAGGGCAGCAGGGTTCCTCGGAGGTAGCTTCGCATGGATGTCATATGGCATTTGGCTCTTCTATTTCTTCTGACAAAATCCTTGATTTTGAGAAAGTGCCATCTGAATCCTTGCCTTGCTTTCACGGCATAATAGGATGAAAATCTTGGGCGCTAGCTTTTCTCTTTGAGAAAATGAGTATCATCTTCCAAAGCAAATGTGCTTTGACTTTTGCCTGCTAAAAGGATGGAACTCCATTACCCTTATGGCATGATAATACGGTTTGCGATCAGATCAAGAATTGTGAGTGCTCGTTACCTGATTCCATCTAGGATGGGAATTGCCACCAAGAGCAAGTATTAGCTTAAAAGCTTTTAATGAAAACTCTAGGGTTGAAGTGTTATTTCCAACTTCGTGTGACTTCATCCCAAAGAAGAGAACTGCAAATGAGCTGGGCTGTTTGTACACATGGTGTTCACCCTGGGGAAGTGAGAACACAGAATTGATTTAGTTCATTTGAGTATAGTGTGTGTGTGTGTGTGTGTGTTGCTATAATAGTATTAAATGTTCATATTCATATGCTGCCTGTAAAGGGCTTGTATAAGTTTGTTCTTTGTGTCTGTGCACGATGCACAGCACACATCCCTGCAGGCTTAGGAAAACAGAACTGATACTACATACTCTTGTTTTGTTTTTCTGTGGGAAAGTGTTTTGCTGAATCTTTCAACAGTGTGCTCACATTGTGCCTCCTGAGGTGTCTGCACAGTGTTTCCCGGTATATTCATCACAGTGCAGATGAATTTGAAAATACAGACAGTCCTGGACTTGTGATGGTTCACCTTACAATTTTTTGACTTTACGATGATGCGAAAGCCATAAGCATTCAGTGGAAACCATACTTCGAATTTGGGATTTTGATCCTGTCCAGGGCTAATGATATGCAGTGCCATGCTCTCTCGTGATGCTGGGCAGTGGCAGCGAGCGCAGCTTCCTCTCAGCCACATGATCACGAGGGTGAACAACCGATAAACTTACGACCATGCTGTACCCAGACAACCATTCTGTTTTCACTTTTAGTGCAGTGTTCAATAAATTACATGAGATAGTCAACACTTTATTGTAAAATAGGCTTTGTGTTAGATGATTTTGCCCAACTATAGGCTAGTCTAAGTGTTCTGAGCATGTTTAAAGTAGGCCAGGCTAAGCTATGGTGTTCGGTCGATTAGGTGTATTAAATGCATCTTCGACTTACTGTATTTTCAACTTACGATGGATTTACTGGGACGTCACCCCATCAGAAGTTGAAGAAGATTTGTAGAACTTCTCGAAGTATTCCCTTGGAGGGCTGTGAGGGAAGTTGTTCAAAGTTGGTCCTGTCAGTCTGTCTTAGGTCAGGTTGCCATAAAAAAAAATGGGTGGCTTACACAACAGGAGTTTATTTCTCACAGTTCTGGAGCCTGGAAAGTCAAGATCAAGGTGTCGGCCAGTTTGGTTCCTGGTGAGAGCTCTCTTCATGGCTTGCAGACAGCTGCCTTCTCACTGTGTCCTCACATGGCAGAGAGAGAGAGAGAGGAACTCTCTGGTGTCTCTTTTAAGGGAATCCCATCGTGAGGGCCTCATTCTCATGACCTCCTCTAAACCTAATCACTTCCCAAAGGCCCCACCTCCAAATACATTGGAGGTTAAGGTTCAACATATGAATTGGGTGGAGAGGACACAATTCGGTCCATAGCACGGGCCTAAAGTGCACCTTCGTGAAGGCCTTCCATTTGCTCATTAGACAGATGTCTTTTGGGAACCTGCTCTGCAAGGCAGAGGGCAGGTGCTTGGGACACAGCAACATAGACCCTGTTCCTGCCCTCACACAGTTGAGGCCTTAATTTTTAAAAATATTACAGAAATGTTTAAACAGAAATAGTTACACGAGACATGAAGGAAGGTACATACTGAGGCCACGGTAGGCTTCCCAGAGAAGTGACATCAGAGCTGACAGCTGTGAGTGGGTGTGAGTTGGGGGGAGGGTTGCGGGGGGAGAGCTTTCTTAGCTAAGGAAGTAGCAAGAGCAGAGGCCCCCAGGTGGGCGAAGGAATTGAAACTGTGTGGCTAGGCATCTGAGGACAATTAATTGTGTCTCCCATCTAGGTAAAAGCACATGTGCTACCTGAGAGCTCCCCCGAGTGATGCTTTTTACCCAGTAAGGGGGCTTTCTGCTGGGTTTAGTCATCAGATAGCAGAGTAGCATATATTTGCTCTTTGTGATCAGGGTTGGCTTGCCTCCCCTGGGGGCGGCGGAGCTGTGCAACTGGAGGACCCAGGTCTGGAGAGTGAGCTTTGCATCTCAGCACTGCCCTCCCTCCAACTTAGTGCCTTCCCAAGAAACATGTTTGTGATGCATGAAATCTTTTTTTTTTTAAGTGAAAAAATATGTCCTCAAGATAGAACATTGCACCAGCAATCCCAGGAAAGTATAAATAAATACAGTAAAATAAAATTGAAATTCAGTAACAAGTTCTGCCTCATGCTATGCTAAATAACTTGTTTTTGGCAGATAGCCTTTACTTAAAGGAAACTTTTTGTCCATGCACTTTGCTTTAAATGCTTTCTTATCACATCCATAGTCCTCTCTTCTGTTACTTCAGTTTTCCAACACAAACTGTCTTTTCTAAAGACATATGCTTACAATTTGCAACTTTGTATCCTACCAACTCTCTGGAATATGGTTGGCTGTTGGTATAATTTGCCTGTGAAAGTGCATAATATAATTGTATCTGGTGAGCCCCTATTTAATGACGCGAACTTATAAGTCGTCTGTGCCTTTCACTGCTATCTTTTTTTTTTCTATTTTAATTCTTTCCTCTTTTTAAATAATGGACACACTTCTGCCCTCAAAATCCTGTTTTTTCACATTCTCTGGGTGCCTAACACAAAACTGGTACTCAGAAAAAAAAAATCATCACAAAGAATGATGATATCCGGCATCTTCTCGTGGGCTGGTTCTGGAATTGAATTCTTACCTGCAGGGTTAATGTCCCTCCTGGACTGCCCAGTGGGGATCAGCTTCTCCGTGAGCCGCTGAGATCCTCTGGAGAAGGAACTGGATCTTCCTTATGTATGAGTCCTTGGCTCCTGGCTCACAATAGGCGCTCAATAAATGTTTATTAAATGATTAACATCAAAGCCCAACTCATGCTGTTGTCTGAAAAAGTCCATTCCTGGAAAAGCAACAGTATTTCTAGTGATACTTATTCCAAAGGCATGGGGATTCGTACTATCCTGGAAGCAGGGCAGCCCTCAGCCAAGTTCTTCAGTCAGTAGAGTGGATCCTTTGTGGTCCTCACTGCATCCACTCCCTGGCATTCCGACTCTGGCCTTCAGCCACTCAGGTCTTTGTCTTTGGCTCCTCCCTGTTTCTGGGGTCGGGCAGCCCTCATGCTCCTGACTTTTCTCATCAAAATGAGTAGCTCGCATCTGGCCTCTCCTCAAGGGCCTCCCACGGGCTTTTCAAAATAGTAGCAAACTCAGTGGAAGCAACGAGCCACGGTCTGCCCCAACTCGCCTTTTAAGCCCCAGACTCTGACCTCCGATAGCCGGCTCTCTCTCCCCAATACAGTGTTCCAGGTAGGAAAGCAAAGCCCTTACCTGCGCTGTTCCCTCTGCCTGGCATTCACTCCTCCCTCCAGACCCTCCGTGCTCCGTGACTTCTAACTCATTCTTCAAAGATGTAAATCTAAATGGAGTGTCTTCCGCTGTACACCGGCTGTGGCACTTTGATCTCTGGGCGATGTGATGCTCTTCCCCTGAGCACACTTCCTGCACGTATTGCATTTATTAGTTTACGAGTTATCTTGCGTGTTAGACTGTGAGTCCTGTCTTCCTTGTCGTTGTTTCCCTAGTGCTTAGCACTGCACCTCCGGGATCCCAGTTGATTCCCTGACAGACAGAGAAAAAGGGAAAGGGGATGATGGCGGGGGCAAGAGAAGGAAAGGGACGAAAAGGGAGAGCTCTTGATCCTTATTTGGTCTACCGTTGGCAGAAGTGCAGTGTTACGTCTAAATGCAACAGAGTGGCTCAGATTAAAAAGAGGAGGGGGTTTGGTCTAGAAGGGTTACAAATTCGGGTTGGAGGGGCCTGAAGCCTCCCCTCGGCTCACTCAGTGAGACACCTCTTCCCAGGTATAGGACGCACAGGATAACAGGGTTTAATGTCACTAGACTTGCTCACTTTGTTCCTGACTGGACTGGAATTGGTGTGAATTTTTTCAAGCGAGTTCTGGTGTGTGGTAGATCAACCAAAGTCCAGAGTATTTCAAGAGCCTTACTAGAATGGTGAATTTGAAAGGACCAAAGAGCTACATGGTCTCTGTCGATGCCGCTTTCCACAGCCATGATCACTCTCGTCATCAGTAACCTCGGGGCTCACCGGCTCCTCGCCCACGGTGTTCCTGACACAGCCAGCAGCTGCATGCTGGGAGGATTCCCTCCGCACGCGATGACGTTCGGCTGAGCCACAGTTTCCTTGACCTAGGAGGAAACCCGTGTGGCTTGGGTTGGGGGGCGTGGATGAGCAAATGCAGATTTTTTCTCCTTGCCCCATGGCTTTAAATTGCAACCTCTCTTTTAATTTTCCATTATGCATCAAACACATGTGTTCCAGAAGTGGACAAATGTATTCCGTCTGGGAAGATGATCCCAGACAGCTATAAATTAGAGTTTGTGGACAGAGATGCCAAAATGTGGCCACATGGTAGGGTGTCCCTGGGACCAGTCACCTCCTCCACAGTCTGCCTGGTGGCTGCTCAGTGGCTGCAGGCCTTGGCCTGATGCCTCTGTCAATAGATTTTGCTTTGTATTTGGAAACTGTCTTTCCATCAAGTCGCCGCGGAGGCGGGCTGGGCAGAGCAGCCTGTGAGGCTTCGCTGGGCACATCTGCTCCAGGCGGCCCCCCGGCACTCCTAGGCTGGTGTTTTCCCAAGGGCATCACTCTCTTTCCTGCCCCAGAAACAGCAATGACCTCAAAGCTGGTTTCCTCCCAAACTAAAGCACGGCCCAAGAAAACTCTCCCCCATTTTCTTGGATTGAACTGATGAACTACCATATAATGCTTATACAATGTTTTTAAACTTATAAGAGTAATACATGCTTAATACAGAAAACTTAGACAATATAGTGAAAATAAAAAAGCCACCTGTAATCGCACCCTTCAAAGATAAATATTGTTAATTTTTAGCATGACTTCTTTCAATATTTTTCCATGCCATGCTACCCTTTTTAAAAATGCAAAAGTCATTTAAAGCTGGTTGGGCCTGGTTCCGTTAGCTGTCCCTCACATTATCCAATTAGTGCTTCCCTCTAAGTACTGGAAACTTTTAGTGATTCCACATTAGAGTCCAGCTGGTGTAACTCTGTTCCTCCAGCCTTCACTGAAGTCGTGCCACAGCCCCCACAGAGGCAGTGCCCTTGGGGGCACAGAGGGCAGAGAAGGCTAAAGTCCTCACTTAAATTCAGCCAGATCGCCCCAAAAGGTAATGCTGGTCCTTTACAAATAGCCCCACAGATAGAAGGATGCTATGTACAAAGGGCTCAGGCCTGACCCTGACTTTGGTGTCATTGTTTCCTCATAGAACCTCCACTTCTCTGAGCTGTGTGCTTCTGTCTTCCCGTTGCCAGCACCTGTGTCTGCTCTTCCCTGTTGGGGCAGGGACAGCCTCTAAGCTGTTCATCTAAGCTGGTGATGGGCTCGGGCAGCCCCACACTCACTGGATGGCTTGGCAGAACCTGGAGGCTGTTTTGACATCTCGGCTTACTTTCCCGTAGTGTCTGGAGTCCAGAAGGTACCCAGTGAATATCTGTTGAGTGACTGATACAATGAAATTGGAGATGGCTGTTTGTGGAGAGAGAGGATGCCATGGCTGGAGCCTGCTGGCGGGCAGTTGTGACAGTCCTGCAGTGGCAGAAGGGGCTTCCAGCTTTGGTGTGGAGCCTCACAAGAGGCCCCAGAGTGGCCGAGAGGAAGCAAGCGATCACTCTCCCAGCTGCCAGCCTGCCCAGCCACTGTCTGCGCCAGCCGCTCAGCCTCTCCATGAGCCGCACAGCACACAGACCATGCTTTTTCAGAAAATTATTTTTTCCTTTCTCACTTTCCATGGAAACTCAAAATAGCAACCAAAAAAAAAAAAAAACAGGCAGGCTCCCTCCTGCTTGCTAAACCATCCCCGGGCCCAGCAGTGACCGTGGAGGCCTGGGGGCAGAAAGCGTTCTAGATGCCTCTGAAACAGCTTTCTCACTGGGCACGGCACACTCATAAAGTGTGGGTGGGTCCTGAGGTTGGTGTGTGTCCTTCCTGTTTAGAAAAGTGGGTTTCCCCAGGGTCTTGGAGTTCATCTTGCTCTCGGTGACCCGGCGGCTGAAACACAGTCCCCTTTCATTGTGGTGTTGGTGAGGAGGTCCAAAGTGCCCAGCAAAGGACAATAAGGCAGGGGCAGATGCCTTTTATGGGGACTGTTACTGGAACGTTCTTTTTGAGATGCCTCCCGAGCTATGCTGTGTATGCCCCATAACCACAGGGCCGCCCAGCAGAATGGGAACAACCCTGGGCTTGGAATCAGGAAACCCCAGGTCTAATATCATGTCAGGTGCCTTGGGGGCTTTCAGCAGATCATTTCATCTTCCTAGAGAAACGTGAAGGGTCGGCGAGCTGATTTCTAAAGAGAGGTCCTCTTCCAGCCTCAGCATCCTGTGCCCCCAGCCCACTCCTGGGTTATGCGCACACTTTCCCCTTCTATTCGTCGTAAAAGCCGTGGGGTTTCCATTTGTTGTAAAGGCCGTGTGCTTTACCTTTCAGCTGGCAGGGTCGGCCGTGATTGCTTTTGGACTATGGTTTCGGTTCGGTGGCACCATGAAGGATTTCTCATCAGAGGACAAATCCCCAGAGTATTTCTACATGGGTGAGTGACCCCAGCTTCTGCAAGCTTTAGCTAGGGCCGCCCCAGAGGCTGAGAGCAGAACCTGCACCTGGACTTCTGCGGGAGGGAGGGACGGGGCCAAAGAGTAGAAGCAAACCCTGAGCCCTGTGGACTCCACCCGGCCCTGAGGGGCGGGTATGTGATCAAGGCGAGAAAGAGGGCCCCACCCTACCCTGCCCGCCCCTCACATGGTGCATCCCCTGCTCTCCAAAATCTAGGAAGACTGGTGTGGGAGGACTTGTACTTCTTTCAGCCACTTCAAGAAAGGAAGCCCAGAATGTAACTACAATTCCTTTCCAAAGAATCAGAAAACCCTCCTTTGCCCCCTGAGGGAAGTAGGTATGACCAAAAAGTCTGTTGTTCACTCATCCATCAGGGGTGACAGGGCCCCCTGTCAAGTCAGGGATTTATTTTTTGATTTGTATTTTAAATTGTCTATGAGAGAAACATAATCCCAAATGAACAGACATCTCAAGGTTTGGAGGTGCTAATCCCAGTCCCTCTGTGACTGTGGAGGGCAGGGGAGGAGGGCAGGGCTGCCCTGGGAACAGGCCTCGGTGGGGGAGGGGCAGTAGCCCGCCTCCCACCAGCTGCAGGAAAGGGTGAGGGTGTGGGTGGGTGTGCCTTTAGTTCTGAGACAATGTGGTAAGTAGGGGCTGGGTGTTTTCCCCTGGTTTATTTCCCTCTGGTCTACTTCTAGTCCTCTTCTGTGGCCTTTTCTCATTCTCCATGTAAGGCCACTATCGGTAGAGGAGATAGCCCTATGTGACTGGCTGTTTCAAGATCCCCGCCAGCCCTGGAGTACGCTTCACTTGCCGGTGGCGACCTCTGGGCTTGAGGAGGAGCAGAGTCCTGTGCAGGTCATTTGCTCCAAATCCCAAGACAAGCAGAGTCTACTTCCCAGGAGGGACCCGGAGTCCAGCTCCACTCAGAGCCAGGCACGTCCTCAGGAAGGGCCGCCCACAGCTGTGTCACCTCCTCTTCCAAATGCCCTTCCCACACTGCTCCCTCCTGTGGGGAGAGCTGCCGTGTCAGTGAGGATGCTCTCAGAGGAAAAGCCTGCTAAAATATGGATAATGATAAGGACATTCCACATTTCACCAAATCTTAGATGCAGTCTTTTGTAAAACACCCAATTACTTTAAGCTCCACTAAGAAAAGAAAAAATTTAACTATGACATACCATAAAATATGCATCCTAACTTCAGAAATGTTAAAATGTAAATATATATATATCTCAAAATTGATGAGATGTGGTAAAAAAAGTATGGAGATGGGGAATCTTCAGAATTAGTTCAGGGCTTGACAGTCATCAAGGACCCAGGTTCTTTCCATCTCTCTACTCACCATCCTCAGGACACCCTCGAACACAACCCTTCAGGGTTGCAGGATAGTTGCAGTGACTCCATCCTCATGCAACAATATCCTAAGGAGAAAAAAGGAAGTTTCACCTTATGTGACCCTTTTAGAAATGAATAAAACCTTTGTCAAAAGTCCCCCAACCACTTCCCCTTGCAGCTTGTGGGCCAGAATTGCATTGTGTTCATGCCTAAACCAATCATAGCCAAGAAGAGAATTACTATGCCGGCTCTCTGACTAACCGAGTCACTCTGGCCTGGGGAGAGGCCCAGGCTCCCCAGAGGGCCTCTGACACTTGGATAAAATTGGAGTTTGTTACAAGGAAGAAGCAGAGGAATCTGCCACTGTACTTAAAACACTGAAATGCTCTTTTCTGCCCACACGGTTTCCAGGTGATACACACCCATCTATCCAAAAGCTAACACACACAGTTAGCATATTCTGCCTCGAGGAACTGCTGGCTCTGAAAACTTCAGAAGCATTGTCCCATCCTAGAGCATGCCCTGAGTGTCTCAGGGCAAACCTCAGCCTGCCTTCGTCCTGGACCGCCTCCAGGAGTCTGCGAACCCATGCCAGGTGGCGCACAGGCATAGTCAGTGGAGGGTGGGAGAAGGAATGCATCTTCCTTCATTGACTGATATTCCAGGAACTGCTTATTTCATAATGATCCCCTGTGATTTCTAACTCTATTTTAGCCTAGTCACAATTCAATGCCCACTGGATTAACCACAGCAAAGGTTTAATCCCTTTTTAATGGGAGTTTTGCTTCTCTGGACATAAATAGTGAGGAAATGTTCAATAATAACCAGCAGACAACAATCACAAGCATATATTAAGTGCTAATGAGTGGTACAGACAGAACCACTAAATTAGGAAGTGAGAGAGAACACTGGGGGCTGGTAAGCGGAGCCTCAAGGTGGAGGGGTGCTTGAATGGGGCCTTGGAGGAGGGTACGTTTCAGATAGACTGAGTTAGGGAGAGCCTTATGCGTGACTTGGCAAATATATGGAAAGCAGCTACCATCCTTTCCCTTGTGGGTGGCAGTTGTGGCTCATTGTTCCTGCTACTCTTTTAGGGGAGTCTTCTTAACCTAGCTCCTCCCAACATTTACAACGGATGCTCAAGGTGAACGTTATTTTCTCTCCTTATTCTGAATTCAGTAGTTACTTGATGTCCTAACATAAGGTCAGCTCCAATAAAACATTGGAGTTTTTTGCTCCTGAAATTCAGGCATGTTGACCTTCAAGGTATTAGCCTCCAGTCTATCTATTCTTCACACGCTATTGGCTTGGCACCGGAAGCCTATTTATCTCATCTTCCTCAGATGCGACTCTCAGGACTTGCTCTCAGAAGCTGCATTTGTGCCCAGAGATAGATGGGGAGGAGTCCACCCTTAGTTAGAACCAAACATGGGAAAACATCAACCAGCTCAGTTACAGTCAGACATTCTCCTTCAAGTTGTTTGACAATAACTACAGGCTAAAACCCAGCCACCTACCCACCTCACCACCAGGTTTGAGGCTGAAAGATTTAAATCTCTATAATGTCATTTCTGAGCTTGAACTGGAAATTTTCAGCAATACTAAAGAAAAACCATTTTAAAAGACCATGAAGACCTGGGTTATGTGAAAAGCATGTAAGAGAGGCTGTCTCCCTTTCAATGATAATAAACATCTGGCTATCTGAAAATCTCTCCATGCTTATTTTCTTGTTTGGATTCCATCAAATATTTGGTTTTATACAAACATAGTTATGCATTCAAACAGGGGAGCCTCTATTCTTTTCATTTTTTTTTTTTTTTGTAGGCTCCTCCATTTGGGAAAAAAATATAATTTATCCATAAATACATCAGCCCGCATTTACAGGCCAGGACTCTGAGGTCACATAAAGAAGTATGAGAGGGGTGGGCCCGGTGGCACAGCGGTTAAGTTCACACATTCCACTTCGGCGGCCCAGGGTTCACCAGTTCGGATCCCTAGTGTGGACATGGCATCGCTTGGCAAGCCATGCTGTAGTGGGCGTCCAACATATAAAGTAGAGGAAGACGGGCACGGATGTTAGCTCAGGGCCAGACTTCCTCAGCAAAAAGAGGAGAATTGGCAGCAGATGTTAGCTCAGGGCTAATCTTCCTGAAAAAAAAAAAAAAAGAAAAGAAAAGTAAGAGAACACATGTAACTTGCAATCTATTTGAAAAGACTCATAGACTTAACCGTTTAAATTATAATAGACTAGTGTCACTAAATGTTAACTAAGTGATCTTTGCAGTGGGTGCATCAGGGGTCATTCTAAACTGGTTGAGGCAGGAAGGATTTGAGTTAGAGAAAGACCAGACTGTAATCAATGGAGAAGAGGAAGAATGGGGCCTGCGGAGGTTGCAGGGCAAGACTGCACAAGGCATGCGTACTGGACAGTGATGAGCAAGCCCAGGCCAGGCAGAGGACTCTTATGGAGCATAAAGGGTTGGGGCATGATGGGAATTAGGATTAGGAATGTTGGGGAGGGAGGGAGGATTAGTATAGAGGACCTGAATGTCAGGGTTAGTTAATTTGGTAACCAGTAGAAGGATAATTTAGGGCTTGGGGGAGGGTCTGATTTTCACTGCATTTTAAAGAAACTATTAAGGCAGCTGTGGAATGAGAGGGGAGTCACAGGACAGAAAGGAATGTGCTAGATTATTGATATAGTTGGGCCTGAAGAAATAAGGGCATAACTCATGGTGGTTGTAGTAGGAATTGTGAAGAAAGGAACAGAAAGACAAGAAACATTATTAAGCATTTTTAAATATTATTATTAAATATAATTGAACTCAGGGACAGAAGGAATCAAAACAAAAAAGATACTAGTGACAGAATCAAGCCTAGAAGTGATTTTCAGAGGGAAACCTGAGTTACAGAAGAAGGGACCCTGCTCAGTCAGAGAGGGGCACGTATGCAGAGCTGAAGGTAGAAGCCGGTCCCGGGACAGCTTCTGTCCGCGTCACTCCAGAAACAAAGCACTAATAGCAATTTCACAGGTGTAGATTTGAGTCCAACATAAGAAAACCTTTTTAATGATTTGATAAGTCCAAGAAGCTGAGCAGACTGCCACTGATGAAAGTGGACTCTCTCCTGCATTGGTATTTAAGCACTAATGTGGCGAAAATCAGAATGGGGTGTTTATCAATTCAGGAGATTCCTGTGTTGAACAGGAGGGTGAACCAGCTCCACACGAACATTCCTGGTCCTATTTCCTAATCTAAACTAAAGCCATATGAACTGCCCAAAAGGCAAGAAATGTGATATCTTTATGGACAGATCTGTCAGGACGTTTTAATTGAAAAATCACAGAAACCTGACTCAAACTGCCTTAAGGAAAAAAGAAATTTCTTGACTCACATAGCTGAAAGTCCAGGATTAGTACTGGTCTCAGGGATGCAAGTGATGTGGTCGGAGTCTCGTCCGTAGCCATCTCTCAGCTCTGCTTTCCTTTGGCTCCATTCTTGGGCAAGTTTCCTCTAGATGTGATAAATGGCTACCCACGGCTCTAGGTGCCATCTCCCAAGGAGCCCTGGCAACAGAAGTCCATGCTTCTTTCATTCCACCAGATCCAACCAAAGTTCCGAGCCTCACTCTCATAGGCAATCT